TGTGTGTGTGTGTGTGTGTGTGTGTGTGTGTGTGTGTGTGTGTGTAGGGGAGGCAGGGGAACCTGCACTCCTTATGAGGGCTGGGGAGTTACCCACCCTGGACTAAAACACCAGGGGCAGGAAAAACAAGACTCGATGTGAAAGACTGTCCTGAGCAGCTTGTAAGAGAAGACAGGGCTACAGGAGCTTCATTCATTCAGCTAGGGGAGCTTCATTCATTCAGCTTCCTGAGAGCCTGCTGGGTCCTGGGGACACACCGTACACAAGGCCAGCTCTCCATGGGTCTCACATTCCAGTGAGACAAACATAAGCAAGTGTTACTGGGGACAGGAGAGATGGCTCAGCACTGGCGGCCCTCCCGGAGGACCCGGGTTCTGCTCCCAGCAACCACACGGCAGCTCACAACCTTCTGTGACTCCAGTTCCTCTTTCTGGCCTCCTCAGGCACAAGGCATGCATGTGGTGCACAGATATACAGGCACACAAAACACCTATACACACCACAGACACACAGACACATAGACACACACACCAGCACACACACATAGGCACACACAGACACATGAACACAGAGACACACACAGGCACACACACATAGGCACACACACAGACACATGAACACAGACACACACAGGCACACACACAGGCACATATAGGCACAGGCACAACAGATACATGAAGACAGACAGACACACACACAGAGATACCCACACAGACACACACACTCAGCTCTGTTGGTAGAGTGCCTGCCTAGCAAGCAAGAAGCCTGGGCTCAGTCCTCAGCATGAACTGAGGACTGTCACTAGGTGTGATTGTCAACACCTGCAATCCCAGCACTAGGGAGGCAGAGGCACCAGGTTCAGGAGTTTAAGATCATCCTTGGCTACACAGGGAGTTCGAGGCAAGCCTGGGTGCGTGAGACTGACGGGGCAATGAGAAAGGTGAGATAATGTGGTGGAGGAGGCTGAGTAGGAAAGGTTAGGTAGTGCGGCCTGAGGGGTGGCATCTGAGCTAAGAACTGGAGAAGTTCAGGATGCAGCTAAATCATATCATAATAGTGTTCCAGCCTTGGGAGCAGCAAATGTGAAGGCCCTGGGGCAGGGGTATGCCTGGCATGTTCAGGAAACTAAAAGAAGCTGGAAGACCGGAGTCTTGCTGGCAAAGTGGGAAGAAATGAGGGGAGCTGGGGCCCCAGGGTGTGCGAGAAGGTTCCATTGGTTCACTAGCAATGGGAAGCTTCTCAAAGTAGAGCTGGGGTGTGATGGATTTACATTTTAAAAGGATCGTGTTGCCTGCTGATGGCAGACCTTAGAACACAGGGTTGGGACCAGGCGACCTGTGAAGAGGCGAGGGGGGCCAGAAATGATGGTCTAGATCTGAGTGACAGAGACGAGGGGGGCCAGAAATGATGGTCTAGATCTGAGTGACAGAGACGAGGGGAGAAGCAGCCGAGACCCTTTTCTTTTTGTAGGAGGAGTCAGAAGAGGGATGAGGAGAGAGCTGGGTGGGGCTCCGCTGTCCCAGTCCAGATCCAGAAACTAGAAATCCCTGGCTGGCTGATGCTGGGCCAGTAACTCCACCTCTCTGCGCCTCTGGGGAGGTCTCTTGAAAAGGAGGGTACTAGTACACACACCACAGCATGAGGAGCTGATGATGGTGGGCTTGGAGAGAGGGGGGGGAAGGAGAAGGAAGAAGGTCCTTGTAATTAAGTTAAGGAGCCCCCCCCCCCAATATCTCCAGTTCTTCATTCTGGTCCATTTCACAGAGCTCTGGGAGGTTGACCATCTTACCCAAGGCTCACAAAGCCAGCTCGAGCCTGCCCTGTGCCTCAAACCTCAGCTCTAACTTTGCCTCTGGAGACAGTTTCTCGGCTGCACACCACGGTCACCCACATCTCTCAAGAGTGTGGGACCAGAGGCCCTATCATGGGGGGGGCCTGGAGGGCTGAAGTGGAGGTTGAGGGGTAAGATCTCGTCCCCAACAGGGATGAGGAGGACAGCACCCTTAGACTCACTCAGCCAGACCTTAGACTCACTCAGCCTCTATCTGGCTGGGTCACCCCAACACCTGTTTTCACAGACCAAGTAGGGTCCCACAGAGTGAAGCTTGGGGGCTCCAGGAGCCCCCACCTCTCACACAGCCTTTTCTGAGGGCCACCTCCAGAAGGGGAGAAGGCGCTGCAGGGCCAGGACACGGCCAGCAGAGGGTGCCCACTCCGGCCACCGTGAATCCACGTTTTCCTAAACAGGAAAACCCAAGAGAACAAGAGCTTCGGATGAAGCCCATGGCCACCACCCAGGATGGCAGTTCTGAGGGAACCCAAAGACTCAGCTGCCAGCACCAGGAATGGCCTTGTGAATAAGTCACCAAGCCTCAGGCGGTTCTGTGAGGACTCAGTGTGAAGTAAAGGCTGGCTGTGTGGAAGCTATGGAAGTCTGCGTGGTAGTGGTTGTTGAGGCCCATGGATCATAATGTTATCATTGTTTATTTATTTCGTTCTTTTGAGACAGGGCTATATGTAGGCCAAGCTGGCCCTGAATTCCAGATCCTCCTGCCTTTCTCTACCTCTCATATGCTGAGATTACAGACACGTGCCCCATCTCCACATGTTATTGTTGTTATTTGTGCTGCTGGGAATTGAACTCAGTCTCTTGTACCTGCAGAACACCGGTCAGGTGCTCTGCCACTGAGCTGGAAACTAGTCCTGGTTATACCATCCGGGGTTCCAGTCTGCAGTAGCTATGATGTAGACAGCAGGCCAAGGACTGAGGCATTGCCTTGGATTTCCTGAGGGAAGAGTAATCAGGAGCTGATTAGTGACCCCAGGTGGCTTCACAGAAGGCCTTGTGCTTGCTGTTCCGTTTCTGACTAGGCAGAACTCCGTAGAAGGCAAGCTTCTATGATATTCTCACCTCCCCCTTCATTCCAGGAACAGCCAAAGGCCACAGAAGTGTCTGTTGGCCGGAGAGCAAAAAGCTCATTATTGCTGGTGTTTTGATTGGGAAGTCTCCTCTCTTGTCCTGCCTCTGACTATAACATCTCCCCCGACCACACACCACACCGTCTTTGTGTGTGCATGTGTGCGTGTGTGCACGTGTGTGAGTGCGTGCGTGCGTGTGCGTGCGTGTGCATGCGTGCGTGTGCATGCGTGCATGTGCGTGCGTGTGTGCGTGTGTGTGTGTGTGTGTGTGTGTGTGTGTGTGTGTGTGTGTGTATGTGTGTGTGTGTGTGTGTGTGTGAAGATGAGTGCTCCTGGCTCTGATGTTGAGGGATCTGCTATTGAGGGAAAGAACCCAAATGCTTGCAGCCCAGCAGTCCTAAGCTTAAGCTGTGATGCAGTCCATCACTGTGTGACCACAGGCAAATTGGTCTGCCTCTCTGAGTCTGTTTCCTTATCTGGTTCCTCCCCCATGGTGTTGTGAGGACTACTGGAGATGCCACATGCAGTCCCCAACACGTGGTCAGTAAATGTGTTGCAGTGGGTGGTGTAAAGTGGAATCCCTCCTTCCAAGACTCCTCTGCACCAGGGTGGGCTGGGGCGGCTGTGGGAGGGGGCCACATCCGGCAGGATGATCTCCCATCCCATTGGTGGGTGAGCACGCCAAGGCCTGGGTCACTGTGCGTGTGTCTGCATATGCAAGAGCGTTCACGTATTTATGGAGGATCATGCATTCCCAGGCCTGGATGTGCATGCTGTGCAAAGGAATGCACACTGTGCAAAGGCATGCACGCTGCGCAAAGGCATGCACGTGCATGGACATGCGCTAGAGGCTGCCCCATCCCAAGGATTCCCAGGGCACGTGTGGACTTGCAGGTACTGGTATCTGTGGTATCCCCACACTGCTGCGGGAGGCCCTCTGTTCACCGTTACTATGGAAACAGGAGGCAATCCCAGGCCTGCCTCCAGAGAGCTTGAGGTGCTAGGATTGAGAGCTGGCTGGGTTTTCCCAGATAGACAGATTGGGGGATGCCTGAGTCGGGGGTTTGGAGCTCTGGGTGCCTCTGGAGTTCCTGGGAGACCCTCATTCCTCTAAGGCAACCTGGCTGTGGCTCCCAGAGGCAGAGCTCATGCTCACCTCGGATCTGACGCTGACTTTAATTAAGGAAGTCTCAGTCAGAGAACTTGACCTGTTGGTGCCTCAGTTTCCACTTCTCTAAAATTGGAGGAACTAGCAGGTGCCTGCAGAAGCAAGCCTGGCAGAGGAGGTGCACTGTCCTCTCTCTGGGACACCACCCTCTAGCCTTCATGGTCATCCCCAGGCCTGAGGCGTCACCCAGCAGCTTCCCCCTTCATGTGCATCTCCACCCCACAGTGTCCTGCAGGCACCTCACAGCTCTGGACAGAGGGCATTCCACAGAGAGCTGAGGCCCCAGGAGTCACTGATGCTCAGCGGGGGATTTCAAACAGGTTTCTGGGTTGTGAGAAGCTGGCCAGGAAGATGGGCCAGGAAGGTGGTCAGGAAGGTAGCCACTCGGAGCATTGAAACTGGAGATGACATTCTGCTTGGCCAGGCCCCAAGGTAGAGCGGTTGGTTGGGAGGCAATCTCTAGTCCAGGAGGGGATTTCTCTTCAAAATCTTGACTGTTAAAGAAAAGGGAAAAAAAAAAAAAAAAAAAAAAAGCCAGGCGGTGGTGGCGCACACCTTTAATCCCAGCGCTTGGGAGGCAGAGCCAGGCGGATCTCTGTGGGTTTGAGGCCAACCTGGTCTACAGAGTGAGTTCCAGGAAAGGCACAAAGCTACACAGAGAAACCCTGTCAAAAAAAAAATAAAATAAAATAAATTAAAAAAAAAAAAACACCAAAAAAAACAAAAACAAACAAAAAAAAACTCGATGGGTTGACACTCCCAGAGCTGGGGGTTGAAGCTAGTCACATTAGTCAAACATGCCACCACTGAATTACATCCCCCAACCATACTCTTAACTGTTTTTGAGTCAAGGTCTCATGTAGCTCAGCTTGGGCTAGAACTCATTGTGTGGTAAGGATTCTCTTGCCTGCACCTCTGAGTGCTGGGATTCCAGGCATGCACCACCATTCCGTGCAGACTGGATTGTTGTACAAGCCTGATGATAATCCTGGAACCCATGTAAAGGTAGAGAGGGAGTGCCAGGCCCACAAAGTTGTCCTCCGGCCTCCACATGTACACTGGCTCATGTGCATTATACACACACACCACACACATACAAACCACATACATTTTAAAACTTAGAAGACAAACCAACAAAACAATAACAACAACCTTAGCCAGGCGTGATGGTGCACACCTTTAATTCCAGCACTCGGGAGGCAGAGGCAGGCGCATCTCTGAGTTCGAGGCCAGCCTGGTCTCCATAGTGAATTCCAGGACAACCAGAACCACACAGTGAGACCCTGTCTTAGAATAATACCAGCACTTGATTCATTAGATCTTGACTGAGATCTGCCATGTTCTGCGCACGGGTTATAAGTCACCCCTACAGAAATGTGTATAGAGTTACAAGGGGTAGAAAAGCTGGGCTTGGCGGCACAAGCTTATAATCCCAGGATTTAAGAGACTAAGGCAGGAGGATTACAATGAGTTCAGTCTGGGCTACATAGTGAGAACCTGTCTCAAGGAAAAGAAAAAGGATGAGAGGAAACAGCTTCCTGTCTCCACCCCACTTTCCATAAGTGACGATTACTTTGCTGTGGCCCTAAGAAGACTGGGAGCCAGCCTGAGATACAGCAGGCGGACTCGAAGGATGGGGAGATAGAGTGCCCAGGCCATGAACTGCCTCAGGATGATCCCAGGGTTTTAGCTGTCTGAAGCTGTGACTGGGGGACAGCGGGCCCAGCTGAGTGACCTCAGGCAAAGGACTGCCACACTGTGGCTTCCAGCTGAGAGTAGCTTCCCCCGGCAGCGGCGGCGGCGGAGGGAAGAGCAATTATGGTATTGGACAAGAGTTGGCTGGGATGATGAGTCCCCAGCTGCCAGAGTCACTCCAGCCACCCCCATCTAGATCCAGTCCCATGTGCAGAGATTAGGGTTGGGAGAGGGCCAGGAACTCCTTCATCCTGGGGGGGGGGGCAGTCACGAGGTACAGAGGTGCTGAACTGGCAAGGAGTTAAAAGGGCTGGTGGGAGTGTGTGGGTGTGTGAGCCTCAGATGTCCCTTTCCCCTGGAAGTCAGCGGGAGCCATGGGAGGTTATTCAGCAGTGCGGTCTCTAATCAGATTTAGAGAAACTGATCCCAGCAGGGGGAGCTATGAGAAGGCCAGAGCGGGGCCCTGAAGCGGCCCTGGCCAGAAGCGAGGGGGAGAGGCAAGCGGAGACCTTGCCCACTCTTGTAGAATGAGCTGGACTTGGGGAGGCAGCAGACACAAGAGCAGCCAGAGAGAGGGTCCTGGATGTGCTGGGGTCTCGGGCTTGCTTGCTGCGGGTGCAGGAGGACCCAGAGACCTGGCAAGCCGGAGGGGAAGGCGGTGAGCTGGTTGCTGGCTGGCTTGAGTCGGGGGTGTCTGTGGGCTTCTGGGAGCCAGGCCAGGAAGCAGCTGGAAATGTTGGTTTCACAGAGGAGGAACCAGAAGGTCAGAGGGCTATTTTTGCCAGCTTTCTGCCTCTAGGAAAAGGGCCAATGCAGGATTTGAATGCAGGTCTGAAGAGGAGATGCTGTCATCCGGGGCCCTGACACTGGCTTCAGCTGCCTTGGCACGGCAACTCTGTTCTTCTTGGGGGGTCAAGGCAGCCATCTCTCTACTGCTGAGCCCAATAACTATAGGACGCTGTAGTAGGATGCCAGATCCAAACCTCTGCTCCGTAGAGCGCCGCTGGATCACCCAGTCCAAGCCTCTTGTTACCTTGGTACTCTATGCAGGTACCTAGGTGCAGGTACCTTGCGCCGTGTGTGGGGTACCTAGGCACCGTGTGCGGCTGGGCTGCTCCTCACCCTCACAGCCACCCTTCCCCGGGCTCACACTGACACTGTCTCCCTCCACAGAGGAGCGAAGCAAATCACTAACTGTTCGAGGCCCAGGATTCAGTTGCTCTGTGGGCAGCTGGGCAGCTGTGTGACCTGGGCCAACGGAGTCCCCCATGGCCAGTGAGGCTTCCCCAGAGAGGCCCCAGCTCCGGCATCCCCACCCCTACCCTTCTGGCCCTGATTTCAGGCCTGCAACCCCAGAACCTTGGACTTCCCACCCCTCCCCAGCTATTCCTTCCTCATGGCCAGCTCCCTGGGGAACTGCCAGGCCTGCCCCGCCCCCTCCCGGGCTGTGCTCCTGGCACTCTACCACCCTGGGCTCTGGTCCGGGGGTGGTCCCTGGCGTCAAGGGAAGCTGGCAGAGACTGGGATTAATGAGGTTGAGACCCAGGGCATTCGGGAGGCCCCCGGACCCCGCTTCACAGCTCGCTGTGCTCCAAGCTGGGTGGGCAGGGCTTTCTGGAGAGGGGTGGCTTGAGGTTTTAATCACTTTATCAATGTTTGTTTGTGTAACGCAGCCCCGAGATGCGTTCCCCTCCATCTGTCCCCACCATCTGCTTTCATCAGGATTTTCCAAACCGTTGGGGACCCAAGAGACGTGGAATGGGGGTTGGGTCGGTCTTCTGAGTGGGCTAGAGAAGGGCCAGACCTGCCCACTTCACTGAGAGGCCTCCAGAGTAGGGTGGCAGATCCTGAGTCACGCAGAGCTGGGTTCAAGTGTGATTCATTGCTGATGTACCTCAGGGTGGAGACGTCAACTCCCTGAGCCTCGGTCTCCACCTCTGTTTAAAAAAAAAAAAAATGGTGGTAATATCAGAGATCCTCAGGACCATGGATCATGAGATGGAGCGTTCCAGGCAGGGCACTCTGCACACAGTAGGTACACAGGAGGTAAGTGATGTCCTGGCGGCGTGGTAGACTAGGGTAGCCGTCCTGGTTTCTGAAGCCCCCGTCACATTTCTCTGCTCTGGAGACGTTCTAATTCTCTCATGGACTACCTGTTGCCCTGTCCCACCTCTCCTGGCCCTACCTCAGGGTATTCCTCCCTCCCTCCCTCCCGGACACCTCCCTCTGAGCGAGAGGGGATCAGCAGCAAGAACCTGAGCATGCACACACCAGGCCTTCAATGAAGGCAAACCCAAGGCTCCAGGGACACTTTGTCATGCCACCTGCCCAAAGAAGGGAGGGACCCAGGCTTCCCAAGCAGCAACCCCTCTGCTGCCTTTTCTGAACTATACTGCAAGACACTTGTCTTGGACCCGGGGTCTTTTAGAGTGTGGGGAGCCCCTAGGCCTCCTCTTTGGCTCAAGAGCCCGTCCAGTGCTGCCATGGCTCTTGGGAGGGTAGAGGTGGCTGGTGCGAGCAGCCAGCAGCTCCCAGGAGGGCCCAGTCTCTGCTTTCAGAGGTGCTCATTGACATACAGAAACAGGCAAAGAAAGCAGATGCCCTGGACGAGGAGACTCGGTCCTGCTGCCCTCAGAAGCACACCCCTGGGGAGGCAGGTGCAGACAGGGGTGCTGAGGGGAGGTTCCAGAATCACCTTCCCAAAGAAGAAAAGCACGAGAGCCAACTGAACCTGTGCCTGAGCCAAGAGTCAGTCTGGAGGAAACAGGGGTACACGGAGACCTTGCACCCAAGAATGGAGAAGAGAAATCAAGCCATGTTAGGAGATTCCAGCTTCAGGCAGGAAAGAGGGGAAAGAAGTGTGTGTGGGGGGGAGACAGGGGATGACTCTGGGCTTGGCTCCTCTCCATGTCCCAAGCATGGCTGTCTTTTGGGACCCACCAGGGTGAGGGGAGGGAGGTTGTCATTGGAGGGGTCTGGGGTGGGGGCTAAGCACTTCCCTAATCCCTATCAGCCTGCAGGTCTTCCTGAAGGAGGCAGCTGGGAACCACCCACGATCGTCTGGCGTCTCTCACGCCTCCACTGGGGGTCCCAACACAAGAGCCAAGGCACACAGTGGAGCCGGTGTTCCCAAGGGCCCAGCTGTCCCTATTCCATCCGGGTCTGGCTCTCCAGCTCTGTCAATGCTCACCCCCTCTTTTCCTCCAAGCACAAGAGTGAAGGCTGGACGTCCTGAGAGGCCTGACCTAGGCACCTAGACGGGGAGCTTTGTCTGGTGTCTGGGGCAGCCAGGATGATCTGAACTACAGGTAGAGAGAGCACCCTGAGAAGAACCGTCCAGGAAGAGATGAATGCTGTCAACTCTGCCTTCTAAGGGGGTCCAGAAACCAGGCTCGCTCGACCCCTCTTCTCTTGACATAAAGCTCCGGGGAGCTGCTGCGTGGAAGTCAGACCCGCTCTGTTGAACACAACAGAGACTTCTGGTCTCACCTGGAATGCAATCTGAAGTGGCCATTGCTCTCCATCTGCTGCTCTCCCAAGCTTCCTTCACATTGCTTATCTAACACACCACAGAGCTGACCGTGTATGTTCTATCATTGTTTCTTCTGCATGATTGCAACCCGACGGTCCGGAACAGTGTGGTGTGCAGAAGCGATGCTTGAAAAATATTTTTGAAAGGGATGAATGAGAGCTCTTGAATTCAAGTCACTCACTAGCTGGTAGACATTGGAAAAAGCAATTAACCCTTCTAGTTCTCAGTTTCCTCATCGGCAATGTAGAACACAGTAAGGTCCACATCCTAGAGATGGAGAAAGGACCGAATTTAAGCTGGAGGGGTTGCTACCAGGGCTGGAGGAGGGAGGGTGCAGCTCCCTGGCAGGCAGAAGCTGTGACCGGGTCGGGGTCTCTAGAGAGCAGCTGTAGACAAGAGGCCTACCCACTTCAGAAACACGCCCCACCTCCCCAGGTGGAGACGAGGTTCTGCACTCTCAGGTCACAGGCCTGCACCCGCGGAGGCTGGGGGAGGAGAGGATGCTTTGCATGGAGGGGTACTGGGAAGATTGAGGTACATTGATGGTAGGAGGTGGGATTAATTCTTGGAGAGGGTGGGGGATGACATCCGGAGTAGTAGGCTGGAGAGGGGGCGTGCTCTGAGGCGGAGGTAGGCAGGGGGCGTGTCTGGCCCCTGGAAGACCTCGAGACTGGGGAATGGGCGCTCCCACCTCTCCAAAGAACCCCCAGCTCAGCTGGCTCCGGAGTTGAGGCGCGGGGGCAGTGAGGGCGCCTATCGGATTCCGCCCTCGGAGCGACAGGCGGCCCCGCGCCCAGGTAGGGGTGGGGAGGAATCGGGTGGCGCTGCCCCGGATTGTTCCCGGTTTAGGAGAGCGGTCCCTGGGCACTGATCTGCCTCTTTCCTTGGTCTCCCCGAGTCGACCTGCAGAACTGGGGGTCCCGATCTTCCCACGGTGGGGTGCTCCCGAGAGAGGGGGCCCGGGGCAGTGAGGGCGTCCCGTTCCCTCTCCCGGGCGGGGGCGGGGGCGGAGCCTAGCTGCCGGTGGGGACCCCCCCAGGGGAGGGGCTCCGGGCCAACGCTGCGGGGCGTCTCCCTCGCAGTCCCGCCCGCCCCTCCGGCCGCCTCTGCCGCCGCGCGCCGCAGCAGCGCCGCCTTCTCTGCGCAGTCGGTGTCTCGGCGTTGCTGGGTGAGTGGGGGCCGCTCCAGCCGGGGCCGGGGATGCGGGGAGGGCAGCCCCGGAGTCAGGAACCCACGTCCAGGGCTCCCCAGCCCGCTCCTCCCCGTGCCTGGCGGGATTCCTCCCACCCGTGGCGCCGCCAGCCCGGGACTGCCCCGGGGGAATCGCGCGGCGCTCTCCAGGGTCCTGACCGCCGAGTGGCCGGCTCCCGGGAGTCGCGCGCCGTCCGTCCCGGGCGCCCCCTCCAGGAGGGACCTCGCGCCCAGTGCGGGAAGGATGGAGGCGGGGGCTCAGGGCCGGAGCCGGGGGAGGTTTGGAGGGGATGCCTGGGCGGGTTTCTCTGATCCAGCTGTGAGGTTCCTCCTATTTTGGGCACCGGGGGTCTTTGGAGAGAAAAGAGACCCTTCTTCCAGCTGACAGAGGCAGTGCCCAGAGTGGCCAGGAGGAAGGGGCACCTGGAGGAGCGCTCCTGCCCAGCGCATCGCTCTGCCCCCGCCCCGCTGACCCAGTTCCTTGGACCTTGAGGAGGGGAGTAAGGGACACGCTCCCCTGCTCAGCCCTGCGCATTTCCTCAGTCCCTTCCCACACACTTGTTCTGTGGCTCCTCAGCCTGGGGCAGAAAAAGGCTGATCTAGAAAGGGGGGTGGGTGGGCACCAACTTACAGGGACATGCATGACACACTGCTGAGGACAGACATAGGTCCCCTCACGATCCCGGGTACATTCTTCTCTTTGTGACAGGTGCATACCCGCTCAACACGCATGTAGAATTCACATGCAGACATGCACAGAAACGCACAGGCAGACAGCCTCGGTGCAGAACCCAGGACTCACATCATATGGGAGCACACACCTTCAACATGCACCCACACACATGTACACAGAGCTTCATCTACCTTCATGCACAAGGAGCCCTCTTCACACTGTCTTACTGGTTATCTTCAACCTCAGGAGTCCCTTGCACACACCCCTACATCTGTGCCTAGGGCTGCCTGCCTGGCTGCTCCCCTCCATAGCTCGTCCTCAGCCCCACACTTTAATCCCTGCCCTGAGGGGACCTTTCGAGCCAGATAAAAGGTGAGTGTTGCGGGAGGTTTGGGTGGGCTGGGTAAGGCTCTCCAAGAAAAAGAGTCCTCCGCGGGTCTGGGAAGGGCTGCAGCTCCCTCTCCCGGGGACCTGGCAGCACCCCGGTATAAAAAGACAAATGAGACGGGTACCTGAAGGTCCCACGTGCCGCTGCCCATGTGAGAGGTGTCAGCATGCGAGTTGGCGGCTGATGGCATGTGTGAGACATGTGGGGTCGTGGGCTGGTGTGTCTTGATGCACAGTGTATGGGAGTTGTGCGTGGTGCCATGTGTCAGTGCGTGTGAGTTGTGGGGCAGCGGGGTTGTTGTGTGTGGTGGCATGGCGACCCATGTGTGGTATGGGATGGTAGGTGAGTGGCATAGAACCTAGCCAGAGCATTTGGTGATCTGTGTGGCATGATGTGTGTGCTGGGGACATGCACTTGCATGTCATGCCTGACTTTTGTGGAGTCTGGGTACATGCGAGTCACTTTGACTCACTTAACATGTATGTA